ATCAAAAATCTAAATACATGTTTAGATTCAGCATATCAAAGAACCCTAAGAATTCAATTTTTGTTAAAATCAAACTAATTTTAATTTTGGACCCTTTGGACCTTAATGTAGACCAATTTGAAAACGGAACCAAAATTTAAGAATCTAAATACACAGTTAGATTCGACATATCAAAGAACCCCAATAATTCAATTTTTGATGAAATCAAACAAAGTTTAATTTTGGACCCTTTGGACCTCAATGTGGACCAATTTAAAAACGGGGCCCAAAATCCAAAAACTAAATACACGGTTAGATTCAGCATATTAAAGAACCCCATGAAATCAAGAATAAAACCCCATTGAAATTGGTCAAGAAATAAGCAATTTATAGGAAGTATCTTCTTTTGCACAATCCTGTGCTATTAAATATTTCTTGCTATTGCGCAATACTGTACAATTGACAATTTCTTGCTATTGCGCAATATTGTGCTATTGGATATTTCTTGCTATTGCGCAATACTGTGCAATTGAAGATTTCTTGCTATTGCGCAATACTGTGCAATTGAAGATTTCTTGCTATTGTGCAATACTGTGCAATTGAAAATTTCTTGCTATTGCACAATACTTATTATATAATAATTTACACATCCTGTTTGGTGTGTATCTCCTACCATATCATTATTATTTGATTTTAAATATAAATCAGAAATAACCAACTTAAAATGGAAAATTTTAAAAGAAACAAAAAAGGAAAAAAAGAAAAAAAAAGGAAAAAAAAATAAATCCCCCCCCAAAATTTTTTGAACCCCCATTATGATTCATCACCCCCAAACTCAATCCTAGCCTTCCCTTTGTGGTATGGTACCTTGCAGTACAATTTCAGAGAGATCCATACACTTGAACACAAGTTATTGTCTGGAAACTAGAAAAAAATGTGTTTTTTGGCCCCTTTTTGGCCCCAAATTCCTAAACGTTTAGGGCAATTACCCCCAAACTCAAACCCAGCTTTCCCTTTGTGATATGGAACCTTGTAGTACAATTTCAGAAAGATCCATACACTTACACACAAGTTATTGTCATGAAACTAGAAAAATGCTTGTTTTTTGCCCCTTTTTTGGCCCCTAATTCCTAAAATTTGAAGGCAATTACCCCCAAAATCAATCCCAGCATTCCTTTAGTGATATGGAACCTTGTGGTACAATGTCAGCGAGATCCATACACTAACACACAAGTTATGTCTGGAAGTTACAACTAGAGGCTCTAAAGAGCCTGTGTCGCTCACCTTGGTCTATGTGCATATTAAACAATGGACACAGATGGATTCATGACAAAATTGTGTTTTGGTGATGGTGATGTGTTTGTAGATCTTACTTTACTGAACATTCTTGCTCCTTACTATTATCTCTATCTATAATGAACTTGGCCCAGTAGTTACAGTGGAAAATATTTTGTAAAAATTTACAAAAAATAACAAAATATATGAAAATTGTAAAAAATTGACTATAAAGGGCAATAACTCCTTAAGGGGTCAATTGACAATTTTGGTCATGTTGACTTATTTGTAGATCTAACTTTGCTGTACATTATTGCTGTTTACAGTTTATCTCTATCTATAATAATATTCAAGATAATAACCAAAAGCTGCAAAATTTTCTTAAAATTACCAATTCAGGGGCAGCAACCCAACAACATGTTGCCTGATTGGTCTGAAATTTTCAGGGCAGATAGATCTTGACCTAATGAACAATTTTATACCATCAGATTTGCTCTAAATGCTTTGGTTTCAGAGATATGAGCCAAAAACTGCATTTTACCCTATGTATTATTTTTTTGCCATGTCATCCATCTTGGTTTGCGGGCAGGGTCATCGGACACATTTTTTAAACTAGATACCCTAATGATGATTGTGGACAATTTTGGTTAAATTTGTCTTAGTAGTTTCAGAGGAGAAGATTTTTGTAAAAGATTACAAAAATTTACAAAAAATGGTTAAAAATTGACTATAAAGGGCAATAACTCCTTAAGGGGTCAACTGACCATTTTGGTCAAGTTGACTTATTTGTAGATCTTACTTTGCTGAACATTATTGCTGTTTACAGTTTATCTCTATCTATAATAATATTCAAGATAATAACCAAAAACGGCAAAATTTCCTTAAAATTACCAATTCAGGGGCAGCAACCCAACAACGGGTTGTCCGATTCATCTGAAAATTTCAGGGCTGATAGATCTTGACCTGATTAACAATTTTACCTCTTGTCAGATTTGCTCTAAATGCTTTGGTTTCAGAGATATAAGCCAAAATCTACATTTTACCCCTATGTTCTATTTTTAGCCATGGCGGCCATCTTGGTTGGTTGGCGGGGTCATCAGACACATTTTTTAAACTAAAGACCCCAATGATGATTGTGGCCAAGTTTGGTCAAATTTGGCCCAGTAGTTTCAGAGGAGAAGATTTTTGTAAAAGTTTACGGACGACGGACGACGGACGCAGGACGACGGACGCAAAGTGATGAGAAAAGCTCACTTGACCTTTCAGGTCAGGTGAGCTAAAAATGCTTATTTTTGGCCCCTTTTTGACCCCTAATTCCTTTACTGTTATTACCATAACCCCCAAAATCAATCCCAACCTTCCTTTTGTGGTATTGAACCTTGTGGTAAAATTTCATAAAGATCCATTCACTTAAACTAAAGTTAGAGTGCGAAAACCAATGTGTCTTCGGACGACGCCAGACGACGACGACGACGACGCCAACGTTATACCAATATACGACCACAAAAATTTTTTTGCGGTCGTATAAAAAGGGGGAAAAAAATCCCCCCCCCCAAATTTTTTGAACCCCCTTATGATTCATCACCCCCAAACTCAATCCCAGCCTTCCCTTTGTGGTATGGTACCTTGCAGAACAATTTCATAGAGATCCATACACTTGAACACAAGTTATTGTCTGGAAACTAGAAAAATGCTTTTTGGCCCCAAATTCCTAAACGTTTAAGGCAATTACCCCCAAACTCAAACCCAGCTTTCCCTTTGTGATATGGAACCTTGTAGTACAATTTCATAAAGATCCAAACACTTACACACAAGTTATTGTCTGGAAACTAGAAAAATGCTTGTTTTTTGCTCCTTTTTTGGCCCCTAATTCCTAAAATTTTGAAGCAATTACCCCCAAAATCATTCCAAGCCTTCCATTTGTGGTATGGTACCTTGCAGTACAATTTCAGAGAGATCCATTCACTTGAACACAAGTTATTCTCTGGAAACTAGAAAAATGCTTATTTTTGGCCCCTTATTCCTAAATGTTTCGGGCAATTACCCCCAAACTCAATTCCAGCTTTCCCTTTGTGATATGGAACCTTGTAGTACAATTTCAGAAAGATTCATAACTTACACACAAGTTATTGTCATGAAACTAGAAAAATGCTTGTTTTTTGCCCCTAATTCCTAAAATTTTGAGGCAATTACCCCCAAAATCAATCCCAGCATTCCCTTTGTGATATGGAACCTTGTGGTACAATGTCAGAGTGATCCATACACTAACACACATGTAATGTCTGGAAGTTACAAAAATGCTTATTTTTGGCCCCTTTTTCCTTAACTGTTGGTACCATAACCCCCAAAATCAATCCCAACCTTCCTTTTGTGGTATTGAACCTTATGGTAAAATTTCATAGAGATCCATTTACTTAAACTAAAGTTAGAGTGCGAAAACCAATGTGTCTTCGGACGACAACGATGCTGGAGACGACAACAATGACGACCCCAAGGTCATACCAACATACGACCGCAAAATTTGTTTGCGGTTGTATAAAAACTGTTCAGAACTCAAAACAACAACTAAGTTATAAGGATCTTGATTGAAGACCGTTGATGATTGATTGAAGATGGTTGCACTATAAGCTGTTTTACCCCCTAATGCCTGTCCAACATTATCTTTACCACAACTACAATTGCACTAGCAACTACTTCAAAATGTAAAGAAATGTCATCAACCAACTTCAACAAACTAGTTTGGTTTAGTTGAAATTACAGACTAAAATTTAAAACATTTTTTTTTGCACAAAGTGATTGATTGATTGGTGTTAAACACCACTTTCAGCACTTGGTTATTTCATGGCTGTCCGTCTTTATTGGTGGAAGAAGCCAAACTGCCCAAAGATAACAACCAAATTTCGGCAGGAAAGTGAAGCAAGGCTATTCAATTATAAGCATGAGCTAATGTTAGAAAAAATAATGATAACATTTTAGACGATCTCATCAAAAGTAAGAAATCTATTCATCTATGTGATTTAAAGATCTGATTATGATTGAACAATTAAGACGAAGGTATCTAACGCTGAACATTTGTAGATTTCTTAGGAATAAAATGCTATATGTTACAACTGTTACATAATGTTATTCATAAATATGTTTATTCTACACTGTTATCCTGTACTTTTATCAATCAATCACAGTTTTTTTTCAATCTTACATGCTTGTATGCTTTACATTGTATTTGTCCCATGAAGGCCAGTAATTATAAAATAAAGAATCAGTACATTTAGTTCTATCTGCTTGATTCCCCTAAGATCTTGACATAACAGTATAAAATCATAGCAGGACAGTTCCAATGAAACACACATGGTACCAAGGGAAGGCTCTTTGAAAATGGGGTGACCATCTATATAGGCAATTTTAGAATTTCCCTTACATATTCATTGTACAAAATAGTCTTTACCAACCACCCATAATTGTGATTTCAAAGTGCCTTCCCTGGTTCTCATGTCTGTTTTTATGGTACAGCTCCCATTCCATATTGTAAAATAAAAGGAGGATGTGTCCATGAGTTTTGTGGCAATAAGCATTGTGTAGAAGTTTCATAACATTTGGTTGAGGCAGACTAAAGTTAGAGAAAGGAAACCAATTTCTGGACATACATACAGATGTGTGTACATACGGACATACAGACAGACAAGGGTAACATTTAATGCCCCCTCCACTGCGGTGGTGGCATAAAAATCATACAACTGAAAATTTACCTGTAGACATGAAAAATGGTACTCTAAATTTGCCACTTAATACACGACTCCGTAGACTCTGTAATGTACTGCCATCAAATGGAAGAGCACCACACACTAATACATATAATACTACACCCAAACTCTGAAAAAAAAGAGAACAAGTAAAGTCAAACATACACAGTATATATCAATCATAACAGTAAGTTAAATTACATTAACAAAACAACTAGCATCAACAAATAAATTTCAAGACATTTCCAGATAGTTTTAGTTGGTGAATCAAAAAGCAATTCTGCAAATCAACCTGTAGTTAGTTGACATTGAAGGGGCCACTCTGTCCAGTCTCCAGATGACAAAATGGCTGCGGTCAATTATTACCTTACTAGATCAACGGCTAATAAAATGTTTCGCTGAGCGCAGCTGGATACAACCACAGAGGTCCAACTCTGAACAGTTGGGGCAAAAATGGACACAATATTCGCGCTTGATACAGGTCTGAATTTGGATTGTAATTAAATATTTGACACATAATAGGTTTCTGACACAGAATAACTGTAGTCAAAGAACTTAGAATTGGTTATATGATTTGAATTTATATTCAATTTTTTGCTTTTCTGCAATACACTGTGCCTGTGCGAATTGACACCCCCCCCCTCACAAAAAAATATAAATAACAAGCATTCTGAGAGTATTGCATGGCAATACATAGTCCCCTACCGGTTAAAAATTAATTGTACTGGAACAAAATGCTAACTTGATCTATAACTTGTCATGGTGTAAACTATATAACAAATATCAAGTCAATATCTTCAAGCATGACGAAAAAAAGTGCAGAAAACTGATAATTTAAGTGAATTTTCTAAGTCCAAGGACCATAACTCTGCAAAAAATCATCAAACCAAAACAAAATTCATACTTGCTCTGTAACTTGTCATGATAAAACTATATACCAATTGTCAAATCAATATCTTCAAGCATGACGAAAAAAAATGCGGAAAACTGATCATTTGAGTGAATTTTCTAAGTCCAAGGACCATAACTCTGCACAAAATCATCAGACCAGAACAAAATTCGAACTTGATCTGTCACTTGTCATGATAAAACAATGTACTAATCATTAAATCAATATCTTCAAGAATGACGAAAAAAGTGCGGAAAACTGAATATTTGAGTGAATTTTCCAAGTCCAAGGACCATAACTCTGCACAAAATTATCAGACTGGAACAAAATTCGAACTTGATCTGTAACTTGTCATGACAAAACAATATACCAAATATCAAATCAATATCTTCAAGCATGAAGAAAGAAAGTGTGGAAAACTGATTTGCCGGACTGACAGAAGGAGAGACAGACAGACGGAGTGCAAACCTAAAGTCCCCTTCGACTTCGTCGGTAGGGGACTAAAAATTAACCCCCTTTTTTGTTTGCTTTTGTGCAATACATTATGCTGTTGCGTATTGAACCCCCCAACCCCCCCAAAAAATCCCCAAATATGTGAAGAAATTTTGTTTAATTTCTGAAATCTGAAATGAGAAAAAATTGCCCCCCCCCCCCCCTTTTCCAAAAAAAAAAATTCTTAAATACATCATAAAAGTCTTAAATAGATAATTTAAAAGCAGTGTAAGGGAGGTAATCCAACATTGTACAATTTTGTTTTTGGATTACCTCCCTTACACTGCTTTTAAATTGTCCATTAACCTGGAAACCCTTGTTTTTTCCCTTTTTTTACCCTAATTTCTAAACGGTTTGAGCCATAACCCCCCAAAGCCAATCTAAACCATCCCTTTGTGGTATGGAAACTTGTGGTATAATTTCAGAAATCCATACACTTAAATTCAAGCTATTGTTTGGAAACTAGAAAAATGACTTTTTGGGCCTCTTTTTGGCCCCTAATTCCTAAACTGTTAGGACCATAACCCCCATGTGTCTTCGGACGACGACGACGCCAACGTCATACCAATATACTGGTTTAGTTCATCACACTAGAAACAGCAAATACCACACAGAAAGAATCAATGTGACAGTTCCTACAATCTGTGAGACAAAACAGCATGCATCTTTTAAAAGGATTCTCTCTACCCTGAGAGAAAATGGTAATCATTGAAATTTTGACTCTTTTTCCAAGTAAAATTGAATTGAAAATTTGTTTTGTCATTTTTAAGCTCCTAGAACTCCCTTGATAGAAAGGTATGTATGTCATCAATGATATAATTTACTGACAGAATAAAACTACAATACATCAAATGACTCAGAAACTTGTAAAATATATTGATCTATATTTAAAGTTTGACTAGAAAACTGCATATTTCTTTTGCAGAAATTGTCCTGAATATGCATGAAATAAATGCCACTGGACATGTGCAAGTAACAATCAATGATGGTTTTTTGGCACAGACTGCAGAAACAAATGCTTTTTTTTCAAATTTCAAGAAAAGATGAAGTGAACAGGGAAATATACTTATAATGGATTGGGGAAATCCATCAAAAATTTGTTTAAAATAAATTGGGAATGTGTCCATGGGACACAGATGATGCCCCCACTTGCATATAATTCAGCAATTTTTCCATTTGTAAAGGGGCATAACTCTAGAACGGTTAAAGTGACCCCACCAAAATTGAAACTTGATCTATATTTTGTGGTAATAAGCATTGTGTATAAGTTTCATAACATTTGGTTGAGGCAAACTAAAGTTAAAGAACGGAAACGAAAAGTTCGGCAATTTTTCCATTTGTAAAGGGCATAACTCTAGAATGGTTAACATGACGCCACGACGGGGGCATAAAAATGAAACGAACAAGTTCTTTTAAAATATCTCACTATGCAAAAAAACAAATTGTATCAACTTCTACCTTCTTAAATTTGACATTAAGTTGCAACAAAAATGGAATAAGCTGAAAAAGGCATATTGGGAGTGTTCAAGTGAATAAGTTTTATAATCTTGCTGATCTAACCTTCAATACTCTTGATGACAAATCTCTATAAGTTTATCACATAAATGGTTTCCTCAGACAAAATTGAAGTTTTTTTCAATCAAATTCTGTATGACTATGACAGGCCAATAAAATATATGACAAAGACATTTAATCTGGTTTTATTCACAAATGTCAAGGACATAAATCTGGTTTTATTCACAAATGTCAAGGACATTAATCTGGGTTTATTCACAAATGTCAAGGACATTAATCTGGTTTTATTCACAAATGTCAAGGACATTAATCTGGTTTTATTTACAAATGTCAAGGACATATATCTGGTTTTATTCACAAATGCCAAGGACATTAATCTGGTTTTATTCACACAGGTCAAGGACATTTAATCTGGTTTTATTAACCAATGTCAAGGACATTAATTTTCATGAACAAACAATGATACTTATACAATATGTAATCACCTGCCTATTAGTTATATAACACTGAATCTAAATGACCAGAAAAAGCCTCATTTCCATGCTAAATACTGTTTGTTCTGTTTTCAAGTATATGATGCATAAGTCATGTTTTCTGTTTAAATGAATATTCCATACCAGGAAGTCTTATATAATCAGTTTTCTGTTTAAATGAATATTCCATACCAGGAAGTCTTATATATTCAGTTTTCTTGTATTATTCTAGAAAACTAAGGTCAAAAAGCCTTAAAATTAATGGAAGAATCTGACCATTGAAAAAAAAAATCTTATATAAATTCACCCTTTTTTATAACTCATCAGGTACAATCACTATGTGATTGACATTGCCGTATATGTTAATAGTGTATTTCTTAATCATGAGCCAACTTTTTCAGCTCCTCGGAAACCACTATTAAGCCAATTTAAACCCAATTTGGCACTGAGAATTAGAAGAAACAAGAAAATAATATGGGCACCAGGGACAAACAACTATTGATTCTTCCAGGTTCTGCTCTTCTTAACCCACAAGTGCATTGGCAATTGTGAACTTTGGTGAGCAAGCTGACCATACCAATTGCCATAAATTGAGCTAGAAATAAATGAAAGATCCCTCTTCTTAAATATATGCTACCATATATCAAAGTCCGATTTAAATCCCCAGGAATTTTAATCAGGACAGGCAATTTTAAGTCAGGCAATTTTTGGCACCAATCTATACTTATATAGGATAAACTATTTTATCAGATGAGTACTTTTCTCTATAAGTACATGTATTTAACAGGCTATACCTGAAGAGCATAATGTTTCATTATAAAGATTTTTCCTGAAAAAATGTATGGTAATTCATATTCTTTTTAATATAAGTAATAAAATGGAAGATTAAATCAATTAATTAATTTATTTATTATTGAAATGCACATTTATACCCCAAGGGGTTGAAGGCATATAAACAATACAATACAAATAAATACATAAATGTTAATTACCCATATATCAACTTTAGGAGCACTGTATTCTTTCCCTTCAAAGAGTTCTGGAGCTGCATATGGTGGACTACCACACCATGTCTTTAAACAACAATTCTGATTATAGTAATTACTGAAACCAAAATCTGAAAGAAAAATACAACATTTTTATAATAAATATTCCATAATATTTTATGTTGATGTCCATTTTTTAAAGGTCAACTATCTCACTGAGGTTTATACATAATTCTATATTTTCATCATGTCAGACCAACTAGTTTTTGCAGATACTATAAATTCAAATAAGAGTGCACATGCTGAAATATATTGCCTGCTTTACTGACCAATCACCATGATTGATTTATATTAAAAGTCTTAAAAGATAAAGGTTTTACTACAAGTATCACATAAATTTAACATTATCAATGATCCATAACAATAAGTTCAAGGTCAGATAAACCCTTGCAGACGAACATGTACACCTTACAATCATTCAATGCACCAAATATAGTTTAACTTTTGATACAGTATCAAAGAAACAGACCAAACCATGAAAACTTAAATTGACAAAAAAATGCATGAAAATGAGGCCAAGGTCAGATGATACATACCACATTTGCAATCATTCCATGCACCAAATACAGTTAACTTATTGCTTAAAGTATCTAAGAAACAGATTTAACCAAGAAAACTTAACATTGGCAAATAAATAATGATTAAAGAACAGAGTTCCAATGTCCTCCACGTGCCACATATTTTATTAATCCAAGGTACAAGGGCAATAACTAAAAGCACTTTTTTTTGTTCTATAAAACTTTTTTTTAATATCTTAGAGAAATGAAGGCTTCAGAGCAAATGCAATATGATTTCCATTATAATTTATATTTCCAAGGGGCATAATTCGTTAAAAATATTTGATCAGAACTTATTCCCGAAAGTGTCAATGACATTGCTGATATAAACCTATGATATAAGTTTCATAAAATTCTGGCAAGAATTGAACAAATAACATATAAGAGTGCTAACAATGCAATTTTCGGATGCAATGCAAGACCGGAAGGACGGACACACAGACAGACGGACGCCCAGTATTTCTATGTGCCCCGCAACGTGTTACGCAGGGGACAAAAATGAGGTCAAGGTCAGATGATAGATGCCATACAGACATGTACACCATACAATCATTCATGCAGCAAATATAGTAAAGTATGAGATTTTGTACATCTAAATGTGGCTATAAGGTATGAGATTTTGTACATCTTAAAGTGGCTATAAGGTATAAGATTTTGTACATCTTAAAGTGGCTATAATGTATGAGATTTTTTGTAACTTAAAGTGGCTGTAAGGTATGAAATTTTATACATCTTTAAATGGCTGTATTAGGCAATAGATTTTTAAATCAGCTAACGCAGAACAGTATGTTTATGTAATTCTGTATTACATCTGCACCTAAAACCTGTTGCACATTCCTACTTTTTACAACAATTTTAATAGGACAAGTATACATGTATGACCATGAATTGCATTACAGCCTTCAGATGTCACCAAGATTACATAAAGGAAGTATTTTTTCATGAGTAGGATAACTTAGCTGTACTTAAAACTTATAATTTAAAGAAGCTAATGATCTAGATTACATAAATATTAATTACATAAAACAATAAAAAGCAGATTTATGAAATGTAATCTATTTAATCATACATGTAGACACGCCACATAAACTGCTAATGCTATATTATATATTGTTCAATAGTCTTTTGAATTTGAGCCAAACTGAATAGTATTTCCTTAATTATAGTTTATATTTTATTGTATAGATTAAACTGAAGCACCAATCTGTCACAATACCTCACAAAATATAGGATATAAAATTCAATGTCAACACGGGGTAGGATTACAGATTCTCCAGAGTGCAAGTTTCCAGCTATGTGGTTTTCTATAGTCAACAGATCTGTGTCAACACGATTCTAATCAAAACATTGCACTGAAGTACAGTTATCCCTGACCTGAATGAGGAATCAATACCACAATTGTCTGAGAACCTTGACTGATATTCACTGTCAAAACAAATTACTCTTCTATCCTTTCATTGTTTAATGGCCACATATTTTAAAGAGCTATAGAGTATGCATCTGTGTCTACAAAAGCTATGATTATTAAATGCAAATTTACTCAGTATTATCTTTCTGTATTATTACAGACTTTTCAATGGTAAATAAATGTTACTGACTTGAACAGGTAAATGAAAACAAAACGATTTTTTTATAATAATGGTTTTTAAAAATTGTTTAGCACTTGTGAACTTATTTTATAAGACTGACCTAGAAATTAGACATGTTATGAATATTTCATTATTTTATTAACATCTTCTCAGACTAATCTATTACTCTAAATGCACTAGTTCCTTTGAAGATAATTAGATGCAGATTTGACAAAGAATCTCTACACATATGAAACAAATTGTATACAGATGTTTATTACTAGGTTAGGGTCAAAACTTTTGTTCCAGACAATTACTTTCGATTTTAATGTATCACAAGACTTTGTTTATTTTCATACTACACTTTTATGGCTATGTATTTGTGAAACATATGTGCAGTAAATAAAACCTTCAGCAGATTCTGTAATTTTAGGTCATTAGGTAATGATCAATAAGTAGAATCAAAAGTCTGTCTCTACACATACTGTGAATTCATTTTCATGATATACAAATTTTTCGTTGATTTATTTCTTGGGCATAGACCGGTGGACCACAATTTCAAAAGTTCAACCAAACAGAATCATTCCATAGATCAACTATTTTAAGATATTTTTTGAAGTGGACAATTGTTTATCAAAATGTCTAGTTAGTTAGTACAATTAAAACTAGCTTTATGCCAGATATATCATCACAATTGACATTAAAAGGAGTAGGTTCACAAAGGGCTAAAATTGGCTCTGAGATTTTAATGTTTTTAAATCAGGTCAAAATACAACCTGATAAAATAACTTCGTTTTGGCACCTCACATTTTAAATTACAAGTGTTGTGAAGTCAGTCTTGGTAACCTTTTCCATAATTTATAACAGTTTTTACCATAATTTACTTTGGTCACCATCCCTGATCTAGAACATTTATGTGTCTAGGAATTCAATATTAACCTTTGCAACTTTTGGTTACAGAACATCTAGGATCATATGTTATGGTTTTCCTAAAGCTTCTAGGTCATAAAATTATCAAAATCACTGGTTTCTTTTACAATATCTTGAAAATGAGCTGACTTTGGAGTCTAATGTACTTCATCGTGTATTACTTAACATTAAGGATTTTGAAATTAATCCATTTAAGAACCAGATTTGGCCTTTTTGATATTTTATGATAAAAGTTGAAATATTCAAGGCCACATTTTGCCAAAAGTGAACCTTGTCCTTTGCAGAAACAAATAAAAAACTTGCTTCATCTTGAGGAATGTGAGGGGCAAAGGAGGAACTATGATTCAGCCTTTTTTTTTTTGCACACTGAAATTACAAAAATAGTAATTGTTTCAATCCTTTCAATGAATGCTATTTCTTTTAATGAAAAAATAGGATGATATCATCTACTAGACACCTTAGAGCAGAAAGGTCAGTGGATGATATCATCTACTAGACACCTTAGAGCAGAAAGGTCAGTGGATGATATCATCTACTAGACACCTTAGAGCAGAAAGGTCAGTGGATGATATCATCTACTAGACACCTTAGAGCAGAAAGGTCAGTATTGATGATATCATCTACTAGACACCTTAGAGCAGAAAGGTCAGTGGATGATATCATCAACTAGACACCTTAGAGCAGAAAGGTCAGTATTGATGATCTAAGATGTCATAAACATGTAGATGTTGACATATTTGACCAAAAATGACCATTAAACACATCCTTTTTGACAAAATTAGATATGAGCTACAAAAAAGTATTATACCCAAATTAACATCTTTGAAAGATGATGTGGGGATGAACGTACGTCAATATAGGACATCTTGTAGCATTATATCTTTTTGAGTTAAAGGCTGTGACTCATATCTGAACATGTTGAATGTTAATGCAGAATCTCATCATAAGCTATGTCAACGTTTAGCAGTTTAGTATTATATTGAAATAAGTTTTGAAGCTCTAAAGCAAACATTCAAGACACAATTAAAATGAGCAATACTATCTGATAAATGTCGTTTTAATATCTGCAATGTTTTAATATCTGCAATGACTCAGTCTTCACGATAAACTTTTGCAGCCACAGACCCGACACTCATTTTTTTGAAAAATTTTGTATAGATTATAATTGCTGTAGTAGAAATTTTTACAGACCCAATTGGAATTTTGCAAGCCTGAACTTTATAACCATTGAAATCGACAAACTTCATCAATCTTATGATGGCTCTTTGTGTGACATTGTCTATGGTATTCAAAAAGTTTTTTCTTTTTTTTCAAGGACAATCAACATTTTTTAATAAAATCATCAATGAAATGCCAAGTACTAATTGCCTCTTAGAAAGTTGTTCAACACAATCTTCATAAGTTAGAATGAACCGAAACAACGTTGAGATTTTATCACAAAAAATGTAAGCTTGAAAATTTGATTTTCTGAGACATAATTGTAAAAAGCAAAAGTAATTTGTTTATAAGATGTCTATTATAAATGTTTAAACTTCCAAAATCCTTCAGAATATTGACAAATGAAAGTTTACGGCAAAACTGTGTGACGCGAATTGATTAGATTTAACTTTTAAGCTTAGGACTTTCTAAACCAAATAACACTTGGAATCCATTTGAAAATTCTATTGGTAAAATGATTGTGTTACTTCTAACTTATCTGAAATATCAAGGTTGATATATGATGTAATTCTATTGATTCTGAACTAATAATGTATGGATGGAAAATAGGTTTTCTTTCTATGACAAATTTCAAACTTGATTGTTTTATCTGTCTTAAACACCACATAATAATTAATTTACATCACCCTCCTACAACTGACATTTATAAAATATTGGACATTCAACAATTCATCATGTGTAGAGAGAAAAACTTTATTGATTAAGCCAAAACTAAAGTTGTTCAGAATATCAAATAAGTAACAGTCCAAACATCAAGGGTCATATGGAAATCACAATGTTCATCTATTTACAAGTGGA